AGTTAACGCGGTACACAACGCTGCTCGAATATAGTTCGCTCGGACTATTCACGCGCTCGACGCGACTGTACGATGAAAAGTGATTTTGACTTCGCTGCTTTGAGCGCAACTCGGTGCGATGTTTGCAAAGTGCTTGCACTGCACTCTCGGAGGTGCCGAATCAGAGTGCAGCCCTAACGACAGTGGATTTTAATTGGGTAGACTCCTAGGCTGACTAAGGTGTCCGTGTGCTCCGCCCAAATCCTAAGACTTCTATGCTGTTCGTACAACCCAATTCAAGAGTTTTAATTTCATGGGTATCATGCGGTCGGCCAACGGGAGCGAAAGAGAAAGAAGATTGAAGCGCTGTGCTAAGTTTCGCAACGCGCTGTACTGTGGTGTGAGGTGTTACGCGAACCGCTTATATCAAAAACGTGGTTTCTGGCGGTTCGCGACGGAAGTTCGGCGTGCAATTTAAAACGATCTGGCTTGAAGAAAATTCTTATCTATTTTGATAACGTGTGATTTTTCCGTTCCCACGGCGCGTGAACATTCATATCGCTTAATAATAATTGATACATAACATTCTCACGGCGCAGCGCGTACATATTATTATTTTACAATCCAGTCATACTAAACATGTTACATTTTACAAGATTTTTCCACGGCACAACGCTGCCAGCAGGGTGGACGTGGCGTGACGACGTTGATTTCAAGGAGGGAATGTGTATTTTGTTCAAAAATGAATTTAATAAACTACCGTCAAAGGCTAGGTTTGTGTTCGATTAAAACGAATTCGGGATGGTAAACCATCTCGAACACATTCCTGCCGACGAAATCAAGAAAAATAAAAACAAAAATGACTGCGCGTAACATGCCCAATCGTTGTCCGGGGCTCGCCGTGTATGTTGCGGCTTCCAGTAGCAACCGAGCAAACGGCAACGGTTTCTTGAATCGCCGTTTCAGGAACGATTTGAGCGATTCCTAGGTATGGTCGTTGGCCATCTCTTCGTCGTACACACGACGTGCATGACCCTTTAGATTACGAGCGACAACGAGTAATATGTTGTCGTCTGCCCATCGGTATCGGTGCGCAAGTCGGTCCACTTGTCGCACCCATTGCTCAACATCTGCATTGTCTCGCGATGGATCGAACTTTGGAACCACAAATTCATCGTTTACGGGCCGATACGTCACGTTTCTCAGCACCTGCTTGAGCCGTCTGACCGTGTTCCGCAGATTCTCCGAGTCGGAACTGTTCGACGAATGTCGCCGACGGGGAGTGCAATCTCGCGAACAGTTTCGCGAGCGATTCCGCGAATGGTTTCTCGAATGGTTCCGGGAGCGATTTCGCGAACAATCCCGCGAGCGGTTCTGCGCTCGATCGCGAGAGTAACCTCGAGAGCGGTCTTGCGAGCGATCTCACGAATAACCTCGCGAACGGTTTCGCGAATCATCTCGTACTTTTCCACTTCCGCGTACTCGGTCCTTCGATTGCTCACGTTCGTGTGGACGTCCCCGTGAGCAATCACGCAAGCGTTGTCGCCTTCCTTTGGGTCGGCTCATTGTTCGCTATTACGCTCGACACAACCACAAAAGAGTACACAACACTGGGACAACCTCACTGCTGACACTGATGTATTCAGGTGGCACTTGTACACGCACAATCGCGTAAAAACGTTCGAAATTGCGTGTGACACTCGCGATGAGTTAATTCGCAAGTTAACTCACAACGCACGTGGTTTATCCCGCTTCTGACTTGTAAGACGAGTAAATAAATGCAAGAATAGATCGCCGAATATTCTTTAACAATATTTTATTTCGACGAGCTCTGTTCACGACGATAGCTGGCCAAGAAGTGACTTTCCCGGTCTGGGAAAGTCTCTGCGTAGCCTCGTCAATGAAGGCTCTTGAAGGGCCTTCGACGTTGTTTATGACCGGGCCTGGCGTCGCAACGTCGCGCCCGGTCGTCCATGCGCGCCTGACCCACGTTTTCGTCACCTCGGCATGGGGCGGCTATCAATGTATCCAGCTATTTCTTACACCCTTTTACATGTTTTCTGTCGTCTGCTATCAACTTAACCTACGCTCATACATCTATTATCTAATAAATGAGTTACATAGAATATATATGTCGTTTCGCGAGCGGATGTAGAAGACTCGCGCACCTCGGCGGTGTCTCGCTTCTTTCGTGGGTGTCGGGCTGCCGAGTGATCCGACGGGTTGACTCCGGTAGGATTCATTCTCGCTTATGATTTCTCAAGTAACAACCGTTCTCTTTGAATATCAAACGATTTCTGACGCCCGATCTCAAGCCATCGAGGAACTTTTATTCCCCTCTGCCACACTCCGTGGTGGGCTCATCCTACCGGAGTCACTCCATCCACGTGCAGACATCATCAAAAAGAACCGACTCTGATTACCGCGGCCGTCAAAAAGTATCGGTAGCGCGCAACCGAAATCAATTATGTGTCGCGGCAGATCGAGTGTCGCAGCCCACCAAACGTACACGTGCGACCACTCGGCATCCGAGACCTCCGGGCTTACAATGTAACGCTTACTGCTAAGCGTTAATATCTACGACATATATACAGTGACTCCCAGAAATATTCGGACACCATTATATGGTTAGCTTTATGGCTTAATATCGTAGTTAAAAAAGCAATCATCTTCGTTACTTTTTCCAATAATAGATTATGTATTAATATTATTAAAGATATATACATTAATTCAAAAATTTACATAAATTACATAATAACAATTAACAAATGAAAGAATACCGCATTTTCGGGTCACAAAAATATTCGGACACTATGAGGAATAACATTTATTAATTAAAATTAAACATTATATGTTCCACATTAATATTTTGTTGCAAATCCCTTTTGTTTTATAATATGTCTCAATCGGTTCGGCATATTAGAAGTTATTTTTTTTAAATATTCTGTTGAAATGGATGCCCATTCTTCTTGAAGCCTAATTTTAAGTTCTTCTTTAAAACGAATGGGTGTCTTGCGAATCCGTTGGTTCAACTTATCCCATAAGTTTTCTATAGGATTAAGGTCTGGTGATTGTGGAGGTGGATGAAGAACTTTGGGGTAATTATACAATAAAAATTCTTGGACAATGCGCAACTTATGTTTAGGATCATTATCCTGGTAAAATTTAAAATCTTCATCAATCCTCATTTTTTCTGCACTTTGTTTTAAATTGATTTTTAAAAGATTCAAATAAGCATTCTTATCCATGATGCCATCGATAAAAACTAAATTGCCAATCCCGGAAGTCGAAATCCATCCCCACACCATTACACTGCCTTCTCCGTGTTTTATCGTACCTCGCATTCGTAGCTTGAAACTCTGTATTTGGCTTAAATTTGCTCTCATCGGCAAATATAACATTTTCCCACCAGAAATTTTCTTTAGAAATAAACTCCTTTGCGAAGTTTGTGATGTCCTTTACACCACGGAGCGGTGGATGTGCCGACTCAGTCGATGCTGCCCAGGGATACTGGGGAGGGGATCGTTGGTTGGTGTGTAGAAATTACTATATATATAACGACAACTGGGTGCCAGTAATTTCTACACTATGAGGAATATATATACATTCGCTCTTTTCCGCCCGCAAAGCTTATACATATAAATATATATAATTTTTCGGATTTTATTTAAAAAAAATGCCTCCGTACATTACGGGAATTAGAAAGTTCAAAAAAGGGCGAAAGGGAGGAGCCTTGAGTGGTAGTGGTTCTTTTGAGACTGAGGATTTGGGAATACAGTTGTCCGCGAATAATCAGATTTCTATTTTAGAACAGCGCGATGAAATGGGTGGAGTGCCGTTACAGGTTGCTTTGCGTGAAAATAATTCTTCGGCTATAAGTAGTGAATATTCATCCTTAGATACGTCTAGTACTGGAAATATAGAAATACCTTCTAGTGTTTCGGAAATTGCGTTTATGCTGTTAAAAATGGCCGCTGATCTAGTCCCGATGTTTGATGGTAAAGCTAGTTCTTTAACCAAATTTATCAGGCAATGTAATCTCGCGAATTCCCGAGTCAGGGCTGGGGATAGGATTAATTTACTAGCTCTAATACGGAATAAGATATGTGGGCATGTGGATCAACTGATCGCAAACAGCTGCGAGCCGAATACTTTAGAGGAATTGATAAATATAATTAAATCTATTTTTGTGCAGTATTTTGATATAGATCGAATTTATGATGAGTTAAAAATAATGGGGTAATGGGGAGAGTGTTGAGGGTTATAGAGCATGGGTTAATGAAATATTGGATAGGGGACTTACGGCGGCAAAGAGAACTTTGATCTTCAGCAATCCGAGGGGGTCAGGGTTCTTCTTAAGAGATCGGCGATTACGGGATTTAAGAGGGGTTTATTTAAGGTAAACATCAGAATGTTAATGATTACTGAGCAGGCAGATAATTTGGAGTCCATGATAAATTTTGCATCGAAATTGGCAAGGGAGTTTGAGTTTCTATGAGTTTAAAGCTGCCTTTAAATTCAGACTCGTTTGGTAATAATTCAAGAGTGTGTGTAGTACATACTTCGGCTCGCAGGTGTTTCAATTGCGATCAATTGGGACACACACGTAAGCATTGTAAAAGTCAAAAGAAAATGTATTCAGAGTTAAATGTCCATAGAACGCTTAAATGTGGATTTTGTAGGAAAAGCGGGCATACTGAAGAACGGTGCTTTAGTAAAAACTCGCCTTCTAAATTCAGGACATCCGGATTTTCCCCCGCAGAGTCTTCACAGGATTTAAACTTCAACAGGGGCCCTCGAACAAGCGCATCGCATGGCAAACCCTTAATTGCGCGCATATATACTGTTGTATCGCCCACTGTCCAAACTTCTCAGAGCCCAGTTCATTAATAGTTCGATTGGAACATGGGTTTTGTTAGAGGAGGGGCAGTATACAACACGTGCTTTAGTTAGTTTAGAAAGATATATATATATATTTGTTACTTAAATCTAACTAAGCATCTTTACACGGATGTGATATAACATACGATCAAACCGCAAGCATCTAACGATATTGTAGATGACGCTCGAATAGTATCGGTCCAACAGGTTTTTCTGCGATGTTATGCCGATTTCCTTGTACACACCGGATCACTATTAAATTTAAAAAACACAAATTGTTCTTAATCTTACTGGAATCTGTCCGGGAATGATTCAGACTTGTGGTGAGGTTATTATCCCTATCAATCAAATCCCCATTAACTTCCAAGTCGTTGAGACTGATTTTTTAATGAAGCAAACTGGAATTGTTGGGGTTTCCTTCCTCGAGAAACAGGATGCTACGGTGATATTCAGAGACAAGCTTCCGAATAGTTTTGACGTTGGGAAACGGGTACAATCTTCTTGAGCATTTACATCATTCGATATTCCTCCACGCACTAAGGTCCTAATTTCAGTCCCTGTAAAGAATAAAAATGAAACGGGATATACAAGAAGAATGGACGTTGGTCCAGGGGTTTATATGGGAGAGGTTTTGGCAGCTCAAGAGAATGGGTATACGAAAGTATTTGTAATTAATACCACCACTGTTCGCGAACTGGTGTCGGGTTCGCACGGACTGCAGAAGTGAATACTCTCGGTCTTGGTTGAAATATAAAACTTTATTCTCGTCAATTCGATACAATAAGTGAGTCAAGGTGTTATTGAAATCACTTATGAGCTACCTGTCAAAAACGAGATGTTCAGTCGATGATTAAGCTGGCGGAGACGATGAAGAGAGTGTTTCCGTTCGATGAGCTGGCTACACCGTCTGGCGCAGTTAATCTATAAATTCTGCCTCCTGTGGTCACTGAGCTTATCACTAATGAGTAGAACTTCCATTTCAACGCACTCCGGGATGAGTCTTATTAGAGATTTTAAGCTGTACTTGAGTAAACTGGTTTACTGTTCAAAGGCTATGCGCGATGCGTTTTCGTTGAATTCGAGATTCACAATGGCGGCTCAGCGCACGTGGCGTGAGCACGCGGCCGTTGCGCGTTCCGAAACTCGGCCGAAATCTTGTTTGCTGGTTAAGAGCGCCCGCTGTCGATCGATGACTGATCGATGGGACGCCGGCAGCCTCCCGGCGCGTCATTTGAAAGCCGATTCGCAAACAACCACTGATAAACTTGTCCTAAATATACCCCCTGTTGAGTTAGAGGATTTCGAGGTTAGGAATCCTGCACAACGTTCATCTCGAGAAACGGACTCTAACCTCAATCGATCAAATGCGCATGCACAGCGATTTGCCCAGTTGGTAGAAACTTTCAATTTTGAGCATAATAACGAAATTGAGAAAGTTAGTATTTTAGAAATAATCAATAAATTCCTTTACCAATTTCACCTTTCCGCAGATAGATTAGGTTGTTCTACGCCAGTCAGCACTCCATAGTAACTACTGATGAAATACCAATTAATACCAAACAGTATCGTTTTCCATTGATTCATAAAGCTGAAATTCAGAAACAGGTAGATACCTTGCTCAAAGCGTTTGGAAAAGATGCTGGACTGCGCAGACCAGTTATCGGTTCCAGATACTTGTACGAGCAGAGTTGATGACCGTTTGGTGATTATAGTAATGAGGAAATGATAACTTCAATTTTTTGGGTGGATGGAGGAGCAAAAGAAAAAGGAAAAGAGTTAATGGAAAACCTTAATGTGGAAAAATGCTTTTGTTCTGATGATGATGACAGATGTGACATTTTAAGTAAAGCTGATACAAGTTCCCATCATATTAGTTTGCCCTCTGTTGGGAATGAATGTATTCAAGCTACAGGACATGACATTACAGACAAAGCTGATACAAGTTCCCATCATGTTAGTTTGCCCTCTGTTGGGAATAAATGTATTCAAGCTAATATTAACGCTAAGGGATCACCCCGGTTGGAGTGATGAGCCTCCTTTGGGCGATCGGTTGGACGGGATGACTGTACCCCGGGCACCCGCTCCCGATGTCATTGAAGGTAGTCCGTTTCCAATAAGGGTGCCAGAATTGCAAGACCTGGGTAATCTTGGATCGCGGCAGAAGTGTGGGGAGCCTGTTTTTGCGACTGTTGTCGTGGCAGAGGCTGACGAGCCTGGTTGTTTTTCGGAGTGTGCTGTAGCGGAGGCTGTGATGCCCAGTAGGTTGTTGACGACAATGTCACGGCAGAGGTCCCCGGGGAACCTAGTGATTGCTCAGCACATATCCAACTTTTTCGCGACCAAGACCGCGTGGAGGATCCCAGGTGAAAAAACCGTTAACGACTCTGAAAAAAAAACAAAATTTTAATATTAGACTCCAACAGACAAACAACTGATACTACTGATCTCACTCCATTACCTGTAATATTCAATAGTAAAGATTACCTTTTTATGCGTAGAGATAATCTTGTCCATTTTTTACCACTTGATTGCAATAACATTTCACAGACTGGACAGGATTTGTTTGCACGAAGAGGGTTTTCCATTGATCAACTCAAACAGTATTCTTTGAA